TTTTCCGGTCGGGCAAAGAGGGAATGTAGAGAGACAGAGAGAGAGAGCAATGGTGAGAAGGAGCCAACGATTAAGAAATTAGATTTGATTTGAAGACATAAAAATAATAATAAGAGATATTTTTTTTTTTTTTTTTTTGGTACAAAAGAGGAGACCAAAAACCTAGATAAATATTATGTCAGAACTCGTGGGGATAGAATACACTGATAATATCATGATCGAGCAATGTACCAGGTCTATGGAGGCAAAGGAACACGCTGCAGTCCCAAAGGGGAGGAGGACGCAGGTTTGCCATACAATCAGCCATAAAGTTGGTTTTCCTATGAACGTGTTGGATTCGAATGCACCAATCTCTTTAAATCATGTTGCGCAGGGCTTGGACTAGGGCATCGTGAATCCCATGATAACTCCGGATCCAAGGATCATTTTCGTCACACGTAGACTATCGACTTTGGCAAACATGACGGCAGCCCCGATCCGAAGCCAACTGTAAACCTTGAAAGACACCTCACAGCTCGGCTCATAATAATAAGAACTATTGAATGAATATAACTTATTTCGGTAAAAAAAGGTTTCAAATAAACTCACTCAAATTTAACTTATTTTCAGAAACAAATTGTTTCAAATGTATTTACCTCGAGCTCGATTTGGAGCCTATATCGAGTTATCGACTCGAGTCGAGGTTGTGATTGAAAAAAAAAAACAATTGGAGCTATTTAATATAACTTGAAAAAAAATGTTTCAGATAAACTCACTCGAGCTCGAGTTTGAGCTTATATCGACCCAGGTCGAGGTTGCTTAGTGAAATCAAAATTTAAGTTTTCTCTTGACGGATAATTTTTCCACCAAATTTTATTTGAAGAGAAAAGAAACATAATTTGAAAAAATAGAAATATAAATTTATAATTTACCTATACATTGCCTATTGGTGTTGATTACAATTTATTTCGAACAAAAGGGTTTGAGCCTGTCGTGATTTTTTATTTTATTTTTTTTTTCCAAAACGATAAAAGCTTTTCTGATTGAAAATATTTTTTATTTTTACATTTTTTGTCAACATAATTAAATAATAAAAATAAATTATTACACACAAATTTCAATATATTCAATATTCATTCGTTCACATATTTACACTACGACTTACATACCGTCATTATTTTACTATTTTTATATGATATTTTAATCATTATATTTTATAATTAAAGTTCTACAAACGTCTAGCCATCGAAATTGCAGTCATATAAATAATAAACTAGTGTGTACCCCGTGCGATGCACGGTAACAATATTACATTAACAATATTTTAAATATACCTCGAGTTTGAGTCACTCAATGGCGGAAGTGGAAACTACTATTGATCCTATTTAAAAAGAGGAAGAAAAAAATAATAATTATATATTGAAGTGTCGGGGTCAGACAATGTAAAATTATTTTGTATAAGAGAATATAAATTTTATATTATTTTGTATAATAAAATATAAAATTTGTATGTTTAATATTAAAAACACTTAAAATATTATATTAGTATATGTAAAAGTATTCAAATTTTCTATATTATTTTTAAAGATATAAAGTCACTACAACTTTTCTAAACAATTTTAGAAAGAAAACATATCTAAAAACATTTGAATTTAACATTATGTAAAAAAAATTTCTAGACTATTTTGTAAAAAAAGCATGTCTACAAATAATTAAATTTAACATCAATTATGTATATGTGCATATGTGTTATATAGATGAATAAGTAAAAAAAAAAAAAAATGTCTAAACAATTTGTTTAAAATAACTAAATATTATAAGGCTAATTTAATAAACACCTTCGGTCAAAAAACAGGAAAAAAAATCAAATATCTACACATTAAATCAGATATAATGTTTCGAAATTTCTGCCTAAAAGGAGTTTAAATGAAAAGCAAAACAAATCTAACACAATATCTATTATTTTGTTAACCTAAAAAATAGGAAAAAGGGAAACATCACAAAAACCACCGCATCTTTTATTTTGTTAACCTAAAAAAATAGGAAAAAGAAAAACATCACAAAAATAAGTGCGCGATTTTTTTTGTTAACACTATATCAATGTTTATTTAATGATTGTAGAGGGAAAATAATAATTTTAGCGGGTATT